CCCCCCCTCCCCCCCGGGCAAGCATCCCACTCACCAGCAAAAATTTGAGTCACTCTACCTGGGCTTCACCACCCATTTCATACAATGTACACATTGTAAGCATATATGAGCAATTAATGTTCCTGTCAACTCTCCTGGAAGTACATGTTTTGCATGAGGGGAATTTTATGCAGTCAAATATCCTAAAGCACTCTTTTTTTCCCCTGCCATTGCAACACTCCAGATCATTAACGAGCATCTTTGTTACAGTGAGTGAACGTGGAAATTTCCACATATTGTATGTAAGGCCACAATGTTAGCCCTAAAACTGAGCTGAACACCAGCTCTAGCTAAGGCGGAGGAAGCGGGGAGGGGAGGGGGGTGACCCTGGGAACACAGAGTGTCATTGTTTGAAGCATTATCATTCACACCTACCAATCTGATTCATGTCCTTCACATTGCCATTGTCAAACATCCTCTTCGCAGCGCAGTAATCGACATTGCTTCGACTAAACTCGGCATACTTTTGAATCATCTTCTCATCTTCAGGAAATGAAAACTGAATGATTTTAAGCTGGAGTTCGTCTGGAATGGGAGGCGAGCGGTGCTCCACAAAAGCGAACGGAAATCTTCTTGCAATGAAGCGACAGCACAAGTCTTGAAGAGAAGACACTTCGTAAATTGGCAGAGAATCTGTCTCTGAAAACGGTTCGCTTTCGTTGCTTATTGCTCGATGACGATTACGAGCGAGAACGAGGCCGGAACAATCCTCGCCGCTGCTATAGTAGTAATCATCATACGCATCTTCGAGGTAATGATCGTCACTGTCATCGTCCATGTCATCGTTCGAGCCGAAGTAATACGGCGAGTATGAAAAATAGTCGTCGTCGTCGGACCACATTACTCTCCTTTAAATTGTCATTACACTATCTACTGCTGAATCTACAACCAAGGTGTTCGGCGAAGCATTTCCACAAATCACAAAGCGTTCTCCAATTCCAAGAAAGGAAGTTACGGTGTTTTGGTCACGTGGCACGGTAAAAAACAATTCTTGATTAAAGTCTGAAGTTAATTTGGTCAATCCAATAAGACTTGCTGTATATTGTGAAGCCGTCAAAGCTTTAACACGGGAAAGGAAGTAAAATATTATACTACCCACAACAGCGAATTTTTTTCTCAGCTGCAACAGTCTTTCACAGTAGATTCGAGGGGTCAGATGCATCGATAGCTCAAATTAGCGGTGTTCCCCGAGTAGAAGAAATTATGTCATGTAAGAACCCTTCAAGTGTCTACCATTGAGACTTAAGCAAAATCATCTCTTGGACCCCTAATAACCTGTACTTAGGGGCAATTTCAAATACTTTTGGATAAAATGTTTGCGACCTTTATAAATACTAGACCAGGGGCGGGGGATAAAGGGCTGTACTAGACGTGCGACAAATATACGCCCGCAATACGTGCAAAACTGAGGGATGACGCACCAACTGGTGGGGTGGTGAGATTTTTAAAATACGGACACTGATGGAAACAGAACCAAGTGTAGCATTATGGAGGTGTCCGTATTAAAGGTAGAGACGATATGAACACTCGAACACCAGCTGGTTCAGACTGCAGACTGCAAACTACATCTAGGCCTGAAATTTTATAATTTGCCTGAACATCACTGGGCCGAGTTCATTAAAAGCCCGATTCAGGTCATTAAGCTAGCCCAGGATTGGCAAGAAGTTTGATTTCAGTCGTGTAACGTGTAACGTTTAGTGAAAAGCTTTTTCAAGCAAGAAAAATTAATACTTCGGTAACTTTTAATCTTGAATAGCGCTCAGGTTAGCCTGTTTACGGTTAGGTCTCTGTAATAGAAATGAGATTAACGATATTAGTTAAAACGTCTGCTGTCTGCGGTCTGCAGTCTGCAGTGTGCAAAAGTCACTGTAGGTCATAATTGCTTCTGTCTTTACCGTTTACATGTCTTTCAATTTTCGGAAGTGGTTACCCGCCCCTCCCTCGGGCGAATTATTATTTGCCCCTGTTGCCCCGGTTAGAACAAAAGGAATGGTTACCAAGCTTATTTGAGTTGAAGATGGCGGCTGAATTTGAACACATGTAGATGCATGTCTTACAGAGGTTGGAGAACTGGCGTTCTTCTTCTGAAAATACCGCCAGAGATGACATTATTCATTGCTTATGCGTTCCTGAAAGTTTTCAAAGGAGTCTCGAGCTGGCCGACATGCTCTGCAGTGGTGAACGTGAAAAGCAAAGATTCGCAACCTATCGTAATTCAAGGTACAAGTTCCTGGACAGGATTGCCATACTTACCGTTTATGTCGTCGCAATCTTGCTCTAATCATGCAGGCAGCTCATTTTGTAGGTAAATACGTAAATATTTTATCCAAATAAGTTATAGCTCACTCTGTTGGTTAAAACCTTCTACCAAGAGCCATCTGACCGGCGGATTCCAGGGTACAGACCTCGTCCTCGTGTCGAACTTGTAAATCGATGTAAACCTCATATCAGTCGAAATCTGTGTGTGACTGGTTGAAATACCGTTTCGTGTGGCTGAGGTGTTGTGTTCTTGAGGAAGATAATCCTCTACGAACAGCTTCTTTCCAGCCCGGTGTATGAATGGGCACCCGACAGCCGGCAACCAGGCATAAAATGCGGTGGGGAAACTTTGTTGAAATGGTATTTTTATCGGGAATAAGCAATGTCAGGATTGTCCCTAGTGCCGTTAGCCCCTCCATGTTCTAGAAAACTGGATAAGTGGTGGGCATACAATGAAAAGACCATTAGATAGAAATTACGCAGGTCTAAGGCAAACTTTCTATTTTTGAAAATAATAATAATATAAAACATGTAGCTGAAAGAGAAGGAATCTCTGTCTC